TGATGGTGCCAACTTGGGCCAGTGAAGCAACGTCCTCCACAACTAGACTGAAGAACAAAAAGGACAGCAACTTGTCTGTTCCCCTTCCCCCAATTTCCCAGTGCTGTTCCCATCCTCCAATTCCCCAATAAAAATCTTTAAAAAAATAAAAAATAAAAATAAATAAATAAAATCCTTGGGCCAGCCGAGTGGCTCAGTTGGCTAAGAGCACGAGCTCTGAGCAACAGGGTTGATGATTCAATTCCCACATGGGCCAGTGAGCTGCACCAGAGCTGAGCTGCCGCTGAGCTACCAACAGGTGGCAGGTGGCTCAGCTGGTGAGAGCACGGGCTCCTAAGAACAAGGTTACCAGTTAAACTCCCTCATGGAATGGTGGGCTATGCCCATCCACAACTAAGACTGAACATGTCACCTTGAGCTGAGAGGCCAGGAGCTACTGACGGGTGGCCGGATGTCGACTAGACTTGGAGCTGAGCTAGCTGCACCTTACACAACTAAGACTGAAGGACAACAACTTGGCTGTTCTCCTTCCCCAACTCCCCAACACTGTTCCCCTTCCCCAGTTCCCCAATAAAATCTTTTAAATCAATAAATCAATAAATAAAAATGAAAAATAAAATCCTTAATATTGTTATCCCTTTTAATATCTGCACACAGGTATTTTGCTCTTGTTGTGTACTCTTGAGTACCAGATTAGTGGCTAGTTATGAATAATCAAACAACTGATAAATGTAACTTTTCCCCTTTATCTTATTATTAACAGAGTAAAGAGAGATAGGGAGGGAGGGAAGGAGTGAAAATGTGATGAGTACTTTGAAAATAGAGAAAGATAATTGTGGTTAAATAAAAAGGAGAAACAAAATGTAACTTAAAATAGGAGTATAAGCTATTCTTGGATCCTTCAAAAAGTACAGGGTCCTTGGTAAACAATAGTGAACTGAATGGAAATATCCTTTTCACTGTGTATCTATTTGCATTGACTGAATTTTTTAAACCATATGTGTAATATGTATGTATTACTTTTTTAGTTTTAAAAAAGTTACAATAAAATATTCTAAAGAATACATACATAACATGGCAATAAAAATGATATTCAGAAGATATCAAGTATGGTATAAAAGGAAAAAAATAAGTTAACACATCACATTGCCTTTTGCAAAACTCCTTTTAAAATAAATAATAATGATTTTATTAAGAAGATACTTAATTAAACCCTTTTTTAGGCAACAAAAGTTTTCTTTTAATTCAAAATAATGGTATATACAAAGAAGCTTCGGCAGTTCCTTTTGCTATATTAAACTGTTTTATTCAAAACTTGAAGAACTATTCTTCCTTAAGGGAAGGCTGCACAATCTAATAAAACACTCAATCATAGGCTCCCTGATGATTAAATATTCTTGGTCAAAAAACTCTTTATACAAACCCAACAAAAGGAAAAATTACAAATCTGAAATGTTTAGATATTTTACATTAAAAAAGGGAGACACTGGAATTATAGAAAATGAAATAAAAAGTTTGCTATGCTTGGAACATTTGTCATCACAGAAAGGAGAGAACAGTACATTTTGCACAGATTTAAAAAAGAAACCATTTAGTGCATGTTATTTCCCAGCCAACGAAGTTCAATAGAAGCCCTTCCTTGGTCCCTTTGGCCTCTTTTTCTAGCCAAGAATTCTTAATGCAAGATAGGAAGACTGTCCAAGGATTGCTACATTTCAGTTAATTTCAGTATAATTGGTTGCCTTTATAATTACATTTATTTTATTTTATGCATTTCAAATAATTATTCTGAGATAGTCTGCAAACTTCACCTCACTGCCAAAAGGGTTTATGGCAACAAAAAGAAAAAATAATCTAAACTATATGGGACTGTCTTGTGAAACTCACTAACCTACCTATATCAGAGTCACAGAAAACATAAGGGTAAACAGAAAACATGCAGTGCTACCATAGAAGTTAACATTGCTATCATTTGTAGTCACACTATATCTTCATTAATATTTCTTTAACTTGTGATAACTAAAGGCCATCAATGTTCCATAAGTGAGAGAAATGGTAGAACAAGCAGACATTAATTTTCAAAATAAGATAGTCTTCATAATTTGCCAAGTAACAGCACCAAAACAACAGAACATCTCCGTTCTCCTAAAAATAATTTACTGTCAATCAGATTACAGAATAACAGTGTTATTTATATTATAACAAGATTACCCAACTATATCCTTTATTGTGTAATTAGGCTTCATTGAATTTAACTTAACTCTTAACATGATTAAGCTTTACAATTATGTACATTTATAATACATCAAAATTAACCATGACAAATAAATTTGTATCTTACCTCTCCATAAGTATTTAAGTTGCTTTTTAAATAGCCTGTAAGTGCAGCAACTTGGCATGCAAAATATGGTAGTGCCCAGTTTTCTCTTAAAGGAATGGAATATTCAATTCTTGTTGTATCTACCCTAAAATAAACCACAGATGAATAGCAAAATAGCAAGACATTATATTTGTGTAACACTACTTTTCAAAGCACTTTCACACACATATCATTGTTCTCTATAACAATCCTGTGAGGTAGGCACAGATATAGCCACCATTGTCTATCCATCATCTTTGAATAAATTGAGTGTCTCTTCCCCTATCCCTTCTCCCCCATAAGACTTAGTGTTGCTGTGCACTGCTTGATCAATAGATGGAACTCTGTGAGAATTTTTAAAAGGCTGTGAAAGATAGAGCCTCATGCGACAGCACACGGCTTGCTCCAGAGTACACTGGATTTCAGCCCCCACCCTACCTTCCCTTAACAAGATGGCTGCCCTTCTCTAGAGTACAATGTATACTACACATTTAGCAGGACTGGCAGATCCAAAGTTCTTAATCCCTTTATATATGGAATATGAAGCTCAGAGAGGTGATACGACTGAATCAAGTCATATTGCTAGTAGGTGGCACGAGTAGACTTACAATGCATATCTTCTGATATCTAGTTTAATAATCTTTTCAATCAACATGTTGCCCAAAATTAACATTACAGTGTCCTTTATGTGATATATCTAGAGACCTTTGAAATTTCCCAGAATCACAAATACAAAATGTCTTTGTACGCTCCTCCTTAGTTTCTCAATTTTCTTGAGAGCCTGTTTTCTCCTCTGCATATCCTCACACTATAATGGAACTACCTTTCCAAGAATCATTAAATTTGGATCTTGTATACTCAATGATTATGTTCCACACAAAAAAACAAAGGCGCTATTGCTTTAAAAACTTTATGTAAATTGCTGTATAACTCTCTTAAATAATGAAGATGGACACGTCACCTGTAATTTAGTTCAAATTGTGGTATAGCCACACAACAGGATACTACTTAGCAATAAAACATAATGAACTATTGATACACCCAACATATATGAATCTCAAAATAATTATGCTGAGTGAAAAATCCAGACACTCCCCCCCAAAAAGTTATACGCTGTATGACTCCATTTATATAAAATTCTAGAAAATGCAAACAATAGTAACAGAAAGCAGATCACTGATTTCCTGGGGACTGTGGGAAAGTAGAAGTGGGATAAGAAGAAATACCAAAGGGCACCAGGAAACTTTGAGGGTGATGTCTATTATACTGATTTTGTCTATGGCTTCACAAGTGTGGCTAAATGCCTAAATTGATCAAATTGTGTTACTTTAAATATGTACAGTTTATTCTATGTCAAGTGTACCTCAATAAAACCGTTAAAAATGATTAGAAGAAAACCTGTCTTCTATAAATGTATATGTAATTGAATAATATATTAAAAACAGGATCATACATGAACATTAAATGAGACAAAAGCTGTAAAGAACTTAGCAGTGTCTAGAACCTAGTAACAGCATTAGAGCTTAGCTCTTTTATAATTACATAATGAACTGTTTTATTTAGTAATGTATTATGAGCATCTTTCCATAATATATGTCAATAAATATACTTTAACAACATGTAATGAATATGGCACACCATCGTACAGATCTATCATAATCTGATCAATTCCCTATATTTAAATACTTCCTTTGTTTCCGATTTTATCAATTACAAAGTTTTTAAAAACTTGAAATAATATTTTTGTATAGTAATCATTGGTTTCATGGTTTACTTTTTTATTTTTTTAAGCTGAGCCATCCTGCCACCTGTTGGCAGCTCAGCCGCAGCTCAGCTCGGGCTGTGAATCGAACCGGTGACCCTGTTGCTCAGAGCTCATACTCTTGAGTGAGCTCTTAACCAACTGAGCCACTCGTCCGGCCCTCATAGTTTACTTTTAATCCTCTAATCCACTTGGAATTTATTTTAGTATTGTGCAATAAGTATTTCTTTTTCAGATTTGGTTGTTCTATGACCATTCGTTGAACATCAAGTATTCTAAAGGCCACCTATTTCATACAATATTATTTCTGAAAATTTGTTGCGAAAGTTAATTTTCTAAAAGGCAAGAGATTCACATGTCACAGTCAGGAAATGGAGAGGAAGGAGAGGATGTCTAATCTCAACTCAGGATTCTGCCAACAACTTCATCAGCCCAGAATTGGGAAACTTAATCTGGCAATCCCTATCCCAAAGGTTCACGCACTACCCTCATCCAACTCACAGATTAGTGCAGTGACATTTTTAAAACTGCACCAGAAACACTGTCTGGAGAAGGCATGAAGGGATCCTTTTCTAGTCACTGTAATACAAACTAAACTAAGCCAATGCTGAGTTTATTTTTGTTTTCATTTTAAACACATCATATAGTATAAGCATAATTTGAATCACCGGGATGACCACCTTGTAACTCACTATTGACAAAAGATTTCAGGATTCACTTCCATGTTTGTGTTAACAATGTATTGGGTTGTCGGAAAAGTAATGATGCATTTTTACAACAAAAAAACATAGAAAAAATACATCATGACTTTTCTGACAACCCAATAGTTGGAACACAGTATTACTTCCATTGGTTTGGGCTAATAAGAAAAAAATGAGATGGCCTCAATACTAAACGCTACATTGCCAAATAAAAACAAAATGATGTCCTGATCGCTGTGGTAAAAAAAAAATTTCATAGTGAACTAAACAGAGCTACATGATGAGAATTGAGTCATCTCATGGTACCCAGCTGTGTAGGTTTGTCATACTATTGGAAGAACCTGCTGTACTGATACCATATTTACACTGAGAGTTAGAAATTTGGCTTCAGCAAAATATCATTTTTCACATTAAATGAATATTTTCAGTTAATATTTTACTGGTTTGTTATTTCACTACTAAATTGGTTTCAATAGTAGTATAAGTGTTTTTAAGCATATGGAACTTTACCATGTTTTATATTTAAGTAGCATTATAATTCAAATTATTTAAGCCAATACATGGAATCCAATAGAAGACTTAAATATACATAACTGAAGTTTGAGAAACATTGAGTTAGATTACACATGTAAAACAGTTTGACACATCAATGTATAATGTGTGAGAGCTGAAAAACACCTATACAATGTAAGTATAACTTCAAAAGACTGCATGTTCCCTTACATTGGTGTATTACAATATACTTAATCATTCTTTTATATTTAGGTGGCTTTCTAATTTTTCACATTATTACAAATAATGCTATAACAAATAAGTTCAAGTAGTGAACTCTTCTCTTTTTTGGGGGGAAGACTTCCTTGGAATAAAATGGAATTCTGAAAACTTACCACCTAAAATTAAAAAACTTATGCCTTCACAAGCATCCCAAATATGCCAGTATCATCACAACAGAATCAGCACTATGTGTTACCATCATTTTCTGTTAACTATACCTCTGTGACATGTGCATTCATTGCATCTTACCACTTTATTATTACCAGTGTACATAGTTACCTTTTTTTTGGACAAAGATTAAATTTAATGTAGACTTTTAATCACATACATTTTCTTTGCTCTTCAAATATAAAGATGTTTCCACTGAAAGTGATACCCACATATATATTTGTAGATGAGAAGATCAGAGGGGACGACGAGCAATTTCCATATTGTTAACATGTGAAGCTAGACGCAAGTTAGACCACTTTGGGAGTCATTTGCTTCTGATTTTCCCCCTGAATACTGTTTGCACAGTACTGTTTCCTGAAATTTCCTTGAATTTTCTATGTCTACATCCTTTAGTCTGAACAAACAGGAGCTATTTTATAATGCTGCTTTCCCCTTCTGGTACTAAGAAACAAGTAACACAAAATACCATTAAGAATACTACTAATGATCACAATATAATAGAATGACTAAAATCTTTTTATACTTTTCTAGGCAATCATATATAAACTCTAAAGCTAATGAATAAAAAAGAGAACATATTTCATGGCATTAAACTATACTTTGTAGTATAGTTGACCCATGAATAATGCAGGGGTTAGGGGCACGGACTGCCCCCCACCACCGTTGAAAATCCTCACCTAACTTTTGACACCCTCCCTCCAAAACTTAGGTCATCCCTCAGTATCTGCACAAGGGATTGGTTCTAGGACACCCCCATACCAAAATCCACAGAAGCTCAAGTCCCTTATATTAAATGGCATAGGACAATGCATACTGTCAGCCTTCTACATCCACAGATTCCCAACCGTGGATCGAAAATATACTGTTTTCAATCCAAGGTTGACTGACTCCACAGATGCGAAACCTGGGATTTGCAGGGTTGACTGTACAGTTATTGAAAAAATTCCACATATAAGTGGACCCACACAGTTCAAACACTTGTTGTTCAAGGGTCAACTGTATAAGATATATACCAATAAAAACAAAACACAAAACAAACATTAAAAAAAAACTACTTGCTAAGAATGTTTCAATTACCAAGATACATTTTAGCAGACTAGATCAGGTTAATTTTTCCACCTAACTTCTGCTCCAAGTAACTAGGATATACTGTGTCATTACATAGGCAAATTAATTGTCATTAAATAAGGCAATTTCCTTACGATTCTCACTAAGGTCTCTAAAATATTCTATTTGACAGGGAGTCTTAATTTTTTAATGCTGTTATTTTTACATGAAAAAGTTGCCTGGGCTTCCTCTTTATTTCTGATGAAGATAGCTCTAGGGATTAAATGAAATAAATATTAAAAGTTCATTGCATGTGGTAGCCAGTCGCCAAGATGGTCCGCGATGGTCCCTGTCTCTTGATATTAACACCCTGTGTAGTCACTTCCCACATTACAACACAGTCTGCATGATGAATAGTACACAGCGGAGAGATGTCATATCACTTCTGAGATTAAGTTATAAAAGATATCTGGCTTCCGCTATGGCACACTCACTTCATACTCTCTTAGATCATGCACTCTAAAGGAAGCCAATAGCAAACTTGTGAAAAATCAAACGGAGACTTATGTGATGAGAAACTATGGCCTTCTAAGCCAAGAGCCAGGAAGGAACTGAGGCTTCTTACAATCAGCCACATGAGTGACCCTGGAA